ATGTATAACGAAAGACTATAATCCTTAACACAGTGATTCATCATTGAAATCAACTATAGTACATTTAGTAAAGTGTTAAAACTAAGTTTATAGCACTTTCTTTCCCTTTCACTATATCTATTGTACCTTTTAGATCTTATTTGCTCTTCCAGTTTCTTACACTAGGGAGACAATGTGATGTTTACACATGTGAGTCTGATTTATTTCATTTATAAGTATTGTCTCTAGCTGCATTCATTTATCTATAAAAGCCTCAAGTTTATCTTTCTATATAGCTAATTAGTATTCCATTGCATAAAAATACCACATTTTTTTTACCCATTCTTCAGTTGATGGGCATTTGGGCTGTTTCCAAGATTTAGCTATGACAAACTGGGCTGCTATAAACATATATCACTGTGGTATGATATTTTCAAGTTGTTCTGGAAAAATAACCAGAAGGGGAAGGGACCTCTAATCCTAGTTTTTTGAGGAATCACCTACTTCTTTTAAAAGTGGTTGTATTAGTTTACAGTCCCACCAACAGTGGAGAAGCATTCCTTTTTCCCAACTGCACCAGCGTTTGTTACTGGTTGGTTTTTTTATGATAGCCATTCTTTCTAGAGTGAAAGTGAATCTCAGCATTATTTTAATTTGCATTTCTCAAATGACCAATGATGTTTAACATTTTTTCATATATCTATTTGTCATTTGTATTTCTTCATCTGAGAAGTGCGTATTAATCTCAAATGCCAATTTTTGGATTGGATCTTTGAGTTTTGGGGGCTTGATATTTTTTAATTCTTTATATGTTCTAGATAGAAGTCTTTTGTCTGAAGGACAGTTGGCTAAAATTTTTTTCCAATTTGTGGGTTTTCTTTTCACTCTGTTGATTTCTTTTGATGTGCAAAAACTAGAAAAAACAAGAATGAAGGAAAGGAGAAAAGGAAGGGAAATATATATACATACCCAAGATAACTAAGACAATTGTACTACTAATTTGTATTAGTTCATTGGAAGGAAGTTAGTGCTTATATTGCTTAATCAATTTTGCATGCCTATATCTTATAATCTGAGCAACTACTTCAAAAATAACAATATGCAATATAATAACCATTGTTAATTTCCTATCTTGTTTTCAAATTCTATGTCGTTTTTGTTTTTTTCTGTCTTTAAAAAAAAACTTTTTTTTAAACTAAAGTTCATAGGTTGTAATTTGCCACTTAGAAAGTTAATTACTTATAGCACTGAATTATTTTTAGGCTTGATCAGCTAGCCTTTAAAATTCAAGACACTGGCATGTAAGCATATATTAAAGTGACACAGTCATTACCAGTGAGAGAGCCTTTGCTTTCCATCTGAGTTCCAGGAGCCAATGTTTATATGTAACAACCTGCTAACAGGGATGAATCGCTACCTGGCTGCAATAAGCTGTATTTAATTCGCTTAAAAGCATTTCTAAGAGCTTCTGTTCTTCCAACTTAAAGTCTATGAATTTTCTTGGCTACCACATTACAGAACAAATACACTAAAAATGTTCTTTTTAGTGGGGCCAAATCATTCACTATAAATACTTAAAACCAGTATTTACATGGAATGGAATAATCTTCATTTCTCTGTACCACAAAACATAAATGTTAGGGATTTTTTTTCTGTTTTCAAAGATTTTTTACAAGTGGCAAAGATCAATCTTCATTGTATAATATTCCTAGCAACTTTCATTTATTGTTAAAATAATAGAATGTTCATAATGCTACATGTTCTCATTTGGAAGAGAAGACAGACCAGAAGAGTTACAGCAAGCTATTGGCAAATTTTAGATGAATATATTCGTTGCTTTCTCAACAGAGAGCATTCTTGGCTAAGGAAACCTGACTTCCTTTTTGTCATTCATCAGGAAAGAAGGGAGTGGAAGAAAAGGGATAAGGCAGTGGTCCTCAACCATTCTGGAAATGGGGACTGGTATACTGGAATACGACTTTTACATGGACGGGAAAGGGGGAACTAGATTCTTTTTACATTTTATTAATATATATTTTCAATAAATATCAATTACCTTCCTCAGTGCTAGCGTCTCTGCCTGAACTCCACTTCAGAACATGAGCGCTAGGTTCTCATAAGGACCATATAACCTACATTCCTACGTGCACAGTTCACAGTATCCTGCTCCTGCGAGAACCTAATGCCACACTGATCTGACAGGAGACAGAGCCAAACAGTGACGCAACGAAGGGGCAGTGCCTGTAAACACAGACAGAGCTCCCTTCACTCACCCGCTGCTCACTTCCTGCTGGGCAGCTGGGCTCCTGACAGTCTAGAAACCTACACTAGTCCATGGCCAGGGCAGGGACCCTGGGATAAGGATCTCCTCCTGCCTTCCTCAGGGGATCTGCTGGGCGGGTATGGGAGAGTTGCTATAGGTCTCAATCAGTAACTGCATTTTATATCGACTGCACTGAGATTGCTTCTAAATAACCTCCATCCATTCCCCAGTTGCCATCACTGCCTCGGCTCCTCACTGACGTATGCCTGAGATCTTCAGAGCTGGGTTTCTGTCTTGTTTCACCGTCTCCCTCCCTACTGAGCTCCGAGCCCTCCTGAGGCCGTCTCTGTGTTTCTCTCCCCACTGAGCCGCACGTGATGGAAATGCGATGAGTGCTGGGAGCAAGAGAAAAGAAGGCAAAGACTAAAGCCTGAAGGGCCATGTCGTCTCCTATGGACACTCACTGTAGCACAAAAGCTTTAGACAAGGACACATATTGAGGAAAGAGCAAGACTGGACAATGTGGGGCAAGAGCAAGGGTTCTGCCCACAAGAGAGGACGGCAGCCCCAGGAGCTGCCCATTCCTCCGGAATGCCGTATTTACTATTTAACATTCTTGGTATTTTTATTAACAGGACCGAAAAGGTACTATTTTCAAAGTAAACACATTTCCTTATACTAACGTATGACTATTTACAGACATGTATGAGACTTCCCTTTGTGACATTATTTCTGTGTGAAAATTAGTTTCAGATTCTAAATAACTCACACTTATAATGTAGTCCTCTCATAATAAGGACCCAGTTCTAATCTCTGCTGCCTCACAGTTCCCTCTTGATTTCTCTTCCCCTTTCCTTCCCCTTCTCTCTGTCCCCCTCCCTTTTGATCTCCCCTCCCACCTATACCTTTTGTTGAGTTTATTTCTCTGACTCTTTCTCTTCATATTGTTGCTGAAACTACAACATAAATGAATAATTACATGCATTCTCATGTCCAGTCTCCAGGCCCTGAAGTTCTTCCATCATAATGACCATCACAGCTCAGAGGCTCTGAGCCCACATTCTCCCCAGTGAACTCTCCATTCCTAGCAAGACCATACTTGAGGTCTTACACCCCATACCTTGTCTGTCAAAATGACTCAGGAATTATTTCAGAATTTCCATTCATTCTACTTATACCAGTAGCTCATAAACTGCCTGTGAAACATTCCTTTTATGATAGCATTCTTTTTATCCTCACAAAAATTTCAGAGGGAATTAATTAGTGTTTAATTTCTTAATTTGTAGTTCAGGATCTCTATATTACTGTCCTAAATACCTTCCTAAATACTTCCTGTCCCCAAGCAGGGGCCTTGCACTGCATCCTCAGCACTTCACTGAGATTATTTCCTTGTTTCTGGGGCACATCTTTAACCACTTCATCTGGATGCTTCCACTCAGGTTAGTGCCTCTGCCTGCCATTCTCTCCCTGTCTCTGTCTCTCTCTCTCTCTCTCTCTGTCTCCCATGCCTCTCCTTCCCTCTCTCCCTCTCTCCCTCTCTCCCTCTGACAACTCTAGCCCCAAATCCTTGGTAAAAATTTCTCAGCCACTCAACATGCAGGATTACCTTCCTACTCTCCTGAGCACTTAGAATAATCCCATACATGTGTGATATTTTCAAGTTTCCTATGTGAGCCTCATACCAGCCCTATTAAAAGGCTTTATAAACATCTACACTATTCAGATGAAAAGAAAGGTTCTGAGAGACATGAAGTGATCTGTCCCATAAACACAGCCAGCACATAGCAAAGGTTCTCTTTCACCCTGGCTGTCTGAGTCCACGGCTAGTTGATACTTGGCCCTTACTGTAAACATCCTTATGTCCGGAGTCATTTGCATCCTTTTACTTTAGCCTCCCAAATTATACTATCAACTTTGTAAAGGCAGAAGCTCTATGTAGAACTTGCTCTAATGCATCATAATACACAACATGAAAATTAAGGTAAACTTGAGAAATACTAAGAGTTCAATCCTTCTACCCTGTGTAAGAAGCCTTGGTAAGTTCTGTCTCCATGACCGGTGCATAGATTCTGATCTGTCAACTGAACATTCCACGACAAATGCCAATATACCTATTTTATTTTGATTCTTGACCTAGTTCCTCCTGCCCCAGGCAAACTGCAAGTTCCCTAAGGATAGATATAGTTAATGAATCAAATGAGATCTGCTATATCAATGTGTACTGAAAAGCTGTAGTAATAAAAATTAAAATAAATAAAGAAATGTTGGTTGTGAGTTGAGTTGTAGAAATAAAAGCAGGACAACTACATTTCCAGAATTCATCTGAAGAATCGTCTAGTATACTTGCTAAAACTACAGCTATCTAGTATTCTTATTCAGTACTTTCTTAATCTTATGTCTCTCTATTCCTGGCTTTTATTGAAGTCATGAGCCCAGAGAACATACTAGGAAACAAGCACCAGTAATGCAGTGACATGGGTCAAAGGCTCTGAGGCAGACTGTGGTGTCTGGCCAAGAGCGGCCCCTTGTCTGGACAGGAGGGTTGTGGCTGTGATCCACACTGCACCCAACCTGCTTCTCGGTTGGTGAGAGAGAATTTAGCACTGCCATGTTTCGCACTGTTCCAACAAACCTCTTCCTCAAAATCTGGAAGTTGTTGAACAAGAACAGGGCAAACAGGAGGAGAATTTAGACAGTCACAGGATTTCATGACACATCAAGAACATCATGCTTTAGTAATGAATGCGGAAGTACTCACAGGCTCTCCCCGAGGTCCATCATGCCCGGGTATGCCTGGGGATCCTGCTTCTCCCTTTTAGTGATTTGATAAAAAGAAACAGAAAATCCATTTCAGGTCTACTTAGTAAAATACTAGTATATAATTTACATATTAAAACATGCTAGACACAGAGAAATAAAAATTATCTCTAGATTATTGGTATTTACTCCTCATGACATCAAATAACACTTTCACAAGTCCAGTGACTATATAAACATCAAAGACATATATTTATAATCAAATTATAAATTAACTATGGTACTGTATAATCATTCTTTAAGTGTGATTTTCAAAATATTTATTTTGATTTTCATTTTAATTTAAAATTGATCATCCTATTATACCTTGCCTTCCCAGAGTTGAATTTTGAAATCAAAATAAAATTATCATCCTGAATGGAGTTACATATAGGTTACTCCTTAAAATTTCCTGGCCCATTAATTTAGTATCTACTTGTTTAAAGTAAACATCCAGGGCTGGGGATTTAGCTCAGCGGCAAAAGCGCCTGCCTGGCAAGCGCAAGGTCGTGAGTTCGGTTCCCGGTACCAGAGAAAAACCAAAAAAAATAAAAAAATAAAAAAATAAAAGCCTTCCCAAAAGGCACCTGGACCAAATCTTATCCCGTTTCCACCCAGACCCCGCCCCCTCCCTCGGCGCCCAGGGTTCGACCCCGC